TATATATACTTCCCAAAGGCATCATGAGAGGAATATGTGAGAGTCTGAGAGTTGGTATCTTTTGCAAGGCGGGATTGTGCTTGCTTTTATAACCCGCAGCCAGCGTTCGAGTCCCCATCGGTTCGACATCCCCAAAGTCAAGAGTTTCTCTGGCATCATGTTGTTACACATCCAGAATGGGAGGTATCAGTCAACAGTACAGGTTCTGTTTGTTTTATGGCATTGGTGCATTTTGCACTTTGAGGATGCCAGAGAATCACTTTCAACAATATAGCTGAGCCATATTATGATTTTTGCTAATAATAATCTAATGGTCGCAGTTGTGTACAGATTTTTCCCTCAATTATTATCACTGTAAACATTCACAGAGCAAAGGAATTGCTTCACCTGCTGTTGGATGTCTGATGTGTAACATTTTTTTCCTTTTACGCTCCCTTTAAGCCTTGTTTGAACACATTTAAATGATCCCATAATTAACAACTTTTTTTGTGTGTTTATGTATTGTTTATAAAGGTGAAGATAATAAACCCTTCACACTTTTTGTATTCAAGATTATCTGGTTAAAAGTGACGTGTAAAACATGCGTATCATATCGTATACTGGTGTGCTGTTATGAGCCCGTCGCTAGCCCATCTCCCAACTCATGAAAGGAGGCAGGAGTGCAAGCCCATCTGCTGATGTGTATTACCTACGAACGTCCTGAAACACCAGAGCCAAGACCGTTGTTTGAAACTTAAACACGCTAGCAGATCTTATTGTTCTTTTGAGCTGTCTACCACCTGCACTGAAAACCTGAAAAAGTGAAGGTTGACCTTCAGAGGTTCTAAGAGAAGCTCGTATGGGTTACAGATGGCTTTTCTACCCCTTCATGTCCGTGGTCTGTCCTTCAATGCCTGTGCTTTTGCCCCTGCAGGACGCTGAGCCCCATGATGCGCGCAGTGCGGAGCAGATCAAGAAACCCAAAGGACCCGCCCCCCAGCTGCGACAGAAGCTGAAGAAGGAGAGCAAGAAAAAGAGATGACCTGGCGCAGGGGCTGTGCCCGCGTGTGAGATCGCAGTTAGGAGGAGCATCGGAAGTGGCTGTGTCAGGCCAAGGAGACAGATTTGTGACAGGGCGGCTGAGCGATCTCAAATAGATAAAAAGTGAAATCCTTTTCATGCACAGGGGGTTAATATTGAGGCCAAGGGCAGGGTGGAGTTGGACACCTCTGTTTCCTCCGGCTGTGAAGGGGGTGGTCTCCAGAAAGCCCACAGTCTCTGTGAGGGAGGAGCTGAGTCCTAGGTGTCATGTTTTGCCTGTGCTCTGCAGCACCTCACTTAGGGCTTTGGCTTGCAGTGTGAATGGAAATTCCAGAGGTAAAGAATGAGCTGAAGCACACAAGGAAAGGGGTGAAGTGGAGTGCTTCTGTGAAATTCCAAGAATCTGCAGAAGGCAGCCCTTCAGAGCTCAGAATGAAACCTTTCGCTGGCCTGTGCACGCCGTTTTCACTTTTTATCACGTGAACCTGTTACAGACCTGTTTCAGACTTTCTCATGCTACTAAAGCCAATCGTCATCTGTTTACCACTGCATAGCAGCCTTGACTCTGACCAGCTGAAACTTCCTGGTATTGACATACCACATGCTCTCACTAACTGTGGCCTACGTACGTGGGCATTGTTTTTTCGTTGTTGGCTTCAGTAGTCTTTTCAAACCAAATATTTGGACCCTTTGTTTGAACAGTCCATTCCCAAGCATTCTGGACATGGAAGAGACTTGAAGCAAAAGCATTTCCTTCTGAAAGCTTTTGTATGCTTCCCTGGGTTTAGTACGTTGTGCTTGGGCAGGCCTTTCACATAATATATTTTTAATCGGGTGCTTTAAATATAGTGGCCCCAACCAGCATTTTCACTACACCTGTCCATATATAGGAGATGCATGAGAATGATAACTGAATATTGCATACTTAGGAATGCAGCGTCCAAGCACAAGTAATCTTGCGACTCAAAATAGTACGCAAAGTGCACGTACGGTTTTTCTAATAGGTATTTTTACATTTGGTTGACAAATACCCATTGGAGCCACTACTTGTCCTTGTATTATCATTCACAAGTAATGTTTAGGTACAGTACTATCTACACTTGACCTAAACTCTGTGAAATCTCCAGACAATGCATTTTAAGCTCTTGAACACTGGTGTAAAACCTCTTTGAAAAGGTTTGGAACAGTTTATTTTACTACCATTCTTGTTGTGTGCACAGCTGTAAGAAAATCACCGTGTTTAACGTGGGCTTTGTTTATGCTCTCCTCAACTTAGTCTTGTTTGTTACATTTCTCCTTCAGAATGTGTCACGGCATTGTTTTTTTACATATTGCAAAACACTTTTTGCTCTGTCTGGGGCTTGATGTTTTTTGTGTGCCGGCATTTACTCCCTTTTTAAAAAAAAAGTATGTAATATTAACATCCGCCATTGCATGCCTTGTTCCTAGAGTGAATCTCTTCACATTTTGATTTCCTTTTTTTTTCTTGTGGCATCATGTCTGTGCACAAAAGCGCTAAAGAAACTGAGGCAAGACTGAACTCGCTTCCTTAGTGTCTGATGTGCGGTACAAGCTGAGATGTTTTCCTGTAAATGTATGGAACACTAAGGAAATAAATTCCGCCTTGAGAATTTTTCTACCCATTTTTGTGTTTCTCCTTATTAAAGTCTGGCAAAGCTTTGTTTTGTGCTTTTAGACTCGTGCAGGTTTTTTCACTTTTATTTTGAGAGCCAAACGATGTAGCCGGGAAGGGTGAGCAAAAATTAATGTCATTGCAGATCTGGAACTGTATCCGAGAGGAGCTCAGTTTGAAAAAGCGAAGGCACACAGTTCCGATGGGGGTTGGTATCTTGCAGCAGCGTTCAACTTCTGGTTTCTAGAGCATGAGTCTGTGTAATTGTAATTTCACATGGATTTAGAATCTGTCCTGTCTGCATGCGGGGAGGAAGCCTGGTTTGAGACTGCTCAAATGCCACTGCACAAACAATTTATTGCCATGCTTTTTCACAGTCCAGTGTCACTCTTGACAATATGTAGCTCCAAGTGATTTAAGAACATTCTTTCCTATGTGAACGTGACATTCACATCCATAGCTTCAAAAAAAAAAACACCCTGTCAAACAGAAGGGGGATTCTGGAGTAGTTGGTATTTTTAAACTACATGTCTCAACTTGGAAATCTTAAAATATGGAAGCTAAACATTAACATGAGGTCCACAGTTATATACCATGTGCGGATTCTGCTTACAAAATTTTAGAAAGGTGGATACACCAGGTAACTTGTAGGTGTTCGTATACATAGAGTATACATGCGTAACTAATTTACATTGTCAGTTTCTCTAAGGTTTATTTACAGGGCCACTGATCTTTTGGAATTTGCATCATCATCCCCTTTGGAATGGAAAAGGCCTTTTCTGTTAAAATACTTCCGTTGTCATTTGTCTAAATGGACATGATGTTATTACTGTGTTAATAGAGTCTGTTGGTTATGGAACTCATCTAGACTAGAATGTCTTTATACTAGAATAATGCAAATGAACTATTACTAACATAATCTAACCCCCATAACCATCTAACACCCATATGAGAAATGATAATAAATCTCTGCACAGTTCTGTAATTTATGGAAAGGCTGAATAAAACTTGCACAGTACAAGTATTCACCTTTAGAGTGATGCTTGTTTAGGTACAATTTAGATCAAACATATTACTGCCAGAAGAGAGGAACTGTATTATCTATGTAATAAAATGGTCCTGTTAATCAGTCTGTGCATTATCAATGCATAGGCAGGTGTTAAAGGTTACTGAAGCGTGTTTACTTTGGCTCAGTTTTGTGCCCTTTGAACAAATAGCATTTTTATGGTGTTACATTCCAATCTTCAAAAGTGGTCACAGTCAGGAGTGGACCAGTGGTTCGCATTGCTGTCTCACAGTGCTGGGGTCCTGGGTTCACATGGATTTCCTCCAGGTGTTCCGGTTTCCTCTCACCGTCCAAAGACATGCCAGCCGATTGATTGGCTTCTATAAAACCTGGCCCTGGTGTGTGTGCCCTGAGAACGACTAGCACGTTCCTTCCAGGAATTATGCTGCCTCGTGCCCACTGCTTGCCGGATTTGGCTCCAGCTCCCAGCGTGCCCCGGTGCTGGATAAGAAGATGGCTGGATGGCTGCTGTCACCTCCATGAGCAGAGTCATCAGGAAATAAGGGTTACAAACAAGGGGAGGCCATGTGGCCCATTCTGTTACTCTTGTGTTTTTTTCTGTATCAAAGTATCTTATCCAGTTGCCTGAAAGGAGTGATGGTATCACCATTGACAAGGTGGCTGGGTATCATACCTCCAACTGAGTGGTCAGTTCCAAAGCAGTCATTTTCATTACTGCCCTAAACAACTGGGCCACAATCATACATGTATTGTACATAAGTAACTGTGGATAAAGGTATCTATTAAGGAATGATCTAAGTCTTATACATTTCTCAATGGCAAGATATTTCTTAATGGAAGGCTGATCCTGAGACCCAGCCCGCTGTACATCAGGTAATCTTTTGTTCATACTCTGCTGACTTGTAGCTGACTCATTCTGTCATTCCTGATTTGGGATAAAACCTACAGGAGTGCCACACCTCTCCTTCCTATTTCATTTTGACATTCACTTACACTGAAGCACTGTTACACAGTAACACTGAACCTGGGCCCAGAACGCTTCCTCCTCTCTGTTCTAAAAATGAACACATAAATTCATTCAGTTGGCTTAACTTTGCATTCTCTTCACTCTGGAAACATTTTTTGGACATTTGGTGAGTGTATCAGAATCAGATTTTTATTGTTGTTGTATGAAGTCCACAGATTCACAGCAGGAACTTTGGTATTTAACAGAACCTTACTGCTGATTAATTACTGTCTCATTCTTCCTAAAAATACATTTTGTGCCTGTGTGCATGGCAAAGCTATGTGCGCAGTACTCTGTTTGTCCAGAAATGGTCAATTACAGGGCCAGCGGCTCAGATTGCTTTGGAATGTATAAAATCCACTAGCCACGATCCATCCAAGTTCCGTCAGTGCTCCTGATTTATTTTTATGTTCAGTCTCTCGCCTACAACTGTACAGTCCAAACCCCTGAAAGCCAGTCACCCACAATCCTGTGTCATCAGAAACACGAACTTCGAAAAATCTGTCTTTTTTTTTTTCTGGCAGCGCTATAGTGTCATGCACAGGCGTTCCCCCAGCCTATATATAACGTGTCACATCAAGGTGTTCATATATGGGCACCAGCAAGGCCATCCTTTCTGGGAAGCAGCGTTCCCCTTTGGTGTCCACTAGGCGGGGTTGTTTTATATGTAAATTCCCAAACCCCCTCCTTCTAAAATCCATTGGCTTCTTCCGATTCTTAAAAGATCGTACGCAGGCAGCAGTGGGATAGCCGCCCAGCCACACCAGCTGGGAGCCTTTTACGCCGATTCCGTAGCGCCCTTCGGCCGATCCTACCTCCCCTTTCGCTCCCAGCCTTGCGAATGGTCTCGCTGTCTGCCTCCTTCAGCCAAGGTCTGTTTTTCACCATATGTGATTAGGCAGCGCAGTGCGCTGCTGCGCAAAAGATTGATCTCCCGTAATAAACTATTTTCTTTTTTTTTCCCATTTTCCCCCAGATCCATGTGTTTATTAGGCAAGGCATTCGGGAGGTGGATATCTCCTTGCCTTTTGTAATCTCTTGGATTTTATAAAAGTTGAATTCAGCACTCAAAATCGGTGCTGTTTTTTTTTTTTCCCCAGGCAATCCCCGCAATGACCTCGCTGCAGCCCTCCGATCTCTTGAATGGGATTTCAGATCACTCCTAGCATTTCGTTTCTGCTCTTAGCCCTGCGTGCCGTATCGGTTGTCTTTTTGTGTGTGTGTGTGTTTCTTTGGATGACGGAGTAACAGTAACACCTCGGACTTCATTCAAAAGGAACACGTCGCATTTGAGACCAAGGCTACCAAAAGGATATAAAGAACCCGAATAGGTGAGTAACTTATTCTCTTCTGTCTTGCCTAAACCGATCCGGATACTTGGCATTTAGAACAGGATCAATGACAGTCTGTGGTAGCCCTGCATTACTGAAAAAGGCAGAAAGAGATACAGTGTATAGTTTTCTCTTCAGCGTGAGAAATCATCTTGTAAACCAAATGTTAATCTGGGACTAGCCGACCACGTCTCAGTGGGTTTCTCATTGATTCTCATTTTCCCAAGTCGTTTTTAAAAATTCTTATTATATTGCTGTCAATGTCTGAAGCAGATAACAATTCCCTACGGTTTATGATTCTCTTAACAGAGAGGCATCCGCTGAAGGACCGGTTAGTATGTGTCAGTTAAGCCTATAATGTATATTTCTGTAGTTTCTTAGGCTTTTCTAGCCTAAAGTAAACGACATCGATCAAGCCTGTAAATAAAATGATGACTACAACGCAAATGGCTAAATTACCTTTGCTGTTTTCTGTTATTTGTCCAGTTTGCGTGCGACCTAAACGATAGTTTTTTGTTTGTTTTTAGGTGCTTGTTATTTTAAAATTAAAGTTGACTTAAGAGACGAACAGTTAAATTACTACGTCCTTTTATGGTTTTTCACACCCATAACATTTCTTTTTAAAGCAAGATACATACGGGTATGACTCACCTTGTTGGAATCTGTCTTGTCCATTAAGTTAGCATAAACGTAATGCAAATGTCGGTAACTATGTTTAAGGGAAAGAATTGCAACAATCCCTTTGTTCTTAACACCTTAGATAACACAAAAGTGAGCTGGGTCAGAATGATCTCTTTAAAAGAAATGTAAGACGGCATGACTTGAATTTGTTTCCATGATGTTTGGCCAGCGTTTGCTCCAATGAAAAACATCAAATTCGTCATAAACACATCAGGACAGTTGTCAAAATGTGTAGTTCGAACGAGTAATTTTTCATTCTTTTTGCCCTTAGCATAGTTAAGGGTTGTGTTTTTAGAATTCATGACACACCAGCTGTAGTTTTCTTTTTTGCAAGACAATACACAGGTTTTGACATTTATCCTTGCTCATCACGTGTGTTGAGAAATACTGCAGTCTGGATTTCTGTCGGGACACTGAGTGGAGTGAGACGTACTGTAGACACCCGAGATCATTGTTTGAAATTATTTCGAGAGAATGTGGCCGTAGCAGCAAACTGTCTCAGAAGTCATTTCAAAGTCTCCAGTCACAGCAGAAGTAGGAAACCTCTAGGACTACAGTACTGTGATCTATATTCCGTGATCGTTGAGTCCGCTGTAGAATTCCTGTACCGTGCTAAAACACATAATATTTTTTTCAGGAATTCCTAAAAGCTTTGACTTTCTAGTGAGTACTGAAGAATAGTATACATATACTGTATATTAATTTTAATGCTGTCTCTGACTTATTTCACACCCAATAAATACTCCTTGAAATGTTATACTTTTCTAGGGTTTTTATTATGCTTTCTGGCAGTTCCATCAAAACCAATTTCTAAAGCAGGAACTTAACAGGCAGTGTGCAACATTAATTTGCTTCCCTCTAAACTAGTTGCAAGCGCTTATTTGTGTGTGGGGATTGGATAATTAATGCCAACCCTGAGATTTGTTTTGAAGCAACTTCACAAAATTTCACAAGTGCGGTGTTACAACATTTTAGTAGGAAACGTACACACGCAGGGCTGATACGGATCTAAGCAAAACCTGCAACAGTGTCAGGTGTGTTGTGTAGCAGGATATGTATCCAGTTGGAAAATATTGTAAAGTAACCATCTAGTATAAAATTCCATTAAAAGTCTAATAATCCTTTACATTTTAGTATTTTTCCATTCATGCAAGATGACTGGACTGGAAGTAGATTTGAGCTCCTGATAAAGTAACAGCATCTGCTATGTGATGATGCCCACCAGAAGCTTTTTCTACCTACTGTATTTGTCACAAAAGACTAATTAGAACATCACGTTATGTAAACACTGGAGCACATACTGTACAACCCTCTGCATTTGCCTTTTATCTTATTATAAAGTTTCTCAGTTTCCCTTGTTTGGGTTATTAATATTGCATCTGGCCTGTTTTCATTCAGGTTTTTACCTTCATTACTGTGATACATGACTGGAGGCCATGGCATTCATTAAATCTTGAGTTGCATTGTGGTTGGTAATAAAGTACAGGTACACCCTATTAATCATACAGAATGATAAAGGCCTTTCATTGGTTAAACATTGTCACATGATCATGGCACTGAAGCTATAAAAGGGCCTGCATATTGAAGACGTTTTTAAACTGTATAAATCATTGCTTGCCACTATATTGTAGATAACTGCAGTTTCTTGCCATAGCTGCCAAATGACATGTATGCCAAATAGTATTTGTGGAATTCATAACATAGCATGATGTATAACTCTGTGTCCGTCTGCCTAATACTTTCTGGTTTTGTTTTAACTTCAAGTTGAAATATTTTTCTTCACCCAAAAGACAGGCTGATATATTATAAGCAGTGTCCATGTGTCCCAAGTAATGTGGTCCACTACCAGGACCTTAAACCTAATACTCACGCCAAGAGTACTGTCAAGCGACTTGCAGGAAGTGTCGTAGTTGCATAGAATTTTTAGAGTACTGTAGGTTGGACTGTAGTGTACAAATACTTCTTCTTTTTCCATCATGCATCTTGTGCAAGCAAAAATTACCCCTAAATGTTTTTAAATGATTTTGTTAGAAGAGGTATGCATATTTTCTACCCAGCCGAAAAGGGACTTTTGTCTGCAATGAATATGCTGCAACAAAGTGTTTTCTGATCATTTAAGCCTTGTGTATGACGCCAATACTCCTCTTTTCATACCTTCTTTATACAGGATAATTCATATTGTATATGTTGTTCCAAGTATTCCAAATGTTCGTCAGAACATTAGCCATTATTTTCCCTTCGATTGAGAATAGTACTCCCCAGAATGTGGCAGAAATTAGTGGAAATTCTGTATCGCCTCCAGCCACGTTTTTATTTATAACCTTAATTGCTATACAGGATAAGAAATGACGGCAATGACTTCACTCCAAATGCCATTTTGTAGGTGTGAGAACCATTTAGCCCCCTGAGTTCGACATGTTAGCAAAAAGGAGCATGATAATACTGGAGAGTAATTCTGAAAAGTGGGCCGTGAATTTGGAAAGCTGGTGCAAAGCCAGAAATGATATCATTGTAAATCCCTCTATTCAGAATAAAGATACTGTTTGTTCCTAAGATTAATAACACCGGAAGTCTGTTTCCCATGAAACAGTTGACTTGAGTAGAAGGCTTGATCGTCCATCCATTCATTCGTTTTCTAACCAATTTATCCAGTTCAGGGTCATGGGGGAGCTGGAGCCTATCCCGGTAAGCATCAGTACTATTCAGGGCTCCCAAGGTGTCTGAAATTGTCAAGCCTAGGAAGACATATCCCTGTTGAATTTATTGCCTTTGCAGAGCAAGGGGATCTTTCTCTAAAGTGCATGGAATTCCCCTTGCTTACTTCAGATCGTCAGAAATAGTGAAAGGGATTAAAGTTTGGAGTGTCTTCCCACTTAAAAATGAAAAAAAAAATACTTGGGGGTTTCCTTCTGACTGCAGCTTGTCACTTGATCATCACACTCTGTCTCAGTTTGTCTACCGGCACAGACGCTTGGCTGAGCTCAGGCGGGTGCCAGCCAGATGACCAAACACTCATTCACACATTTTGTCCTTTTTCAGTTCTGCTTGCTTGTACTTTTCCACACTTGACAGAATGAAACTCTGATACAGAATGTGACTAACATACTGTACCACTCCCTGGTTTTCTAGACTAGGAGTTTACTAACCTCCTGCAACTTTGGTTTACTGAATCTGTAATTCACCAGCAACAAGTAACAAGATCTGTAGATGCTTTAATCTTTATTTGCCTGTTTATACAGGCAGAAATCATTTTGAACTTTGGAAACGTGGGTGCGATATTAAGTTGTTCCATTTTCTTTGCTTTGCTTGTATGTTGTAAAGAGTAACAGAAGACTACTTTTGAATGGAACTAAGGAAGGTTTTTCTACAGATGGCATTTAAATAGGAGCATCAGTTTAACATGGCGTTTAACAGAAGTAACTTGCATTCCTTACACAGAAGGATACTGTGTAATGCACATAAATTGAAGTTTATGTGTGTGGTGTTTTATATTTTATGAATGTTGTCCTTCAAAGTTGTTTGCTGCTTGGTCATCTTCATAAATTCTGACACTACCTGTCGGTTTTAAATGTAAGATTTGAAATGGCACTGTTAGGTACCTTTGTAAAGTTTCAGCACAACAAAAAAATCATTTGTGAGTTACATTTGGCAGGCTTGCTTCAAAAATGTCATTCTGAGAAACTGGGACCTTAAGTTAAATCAAAATTTATCATGCCATCATAGCTACAATATATAAAGCCCTCACAATAACTGATTTCATCTAATATTGAACAAGTGTCCAGTTTCTTTTTCAAAATTGTTGGCCCAGGTGTTCCAAGCTGAGGTAAGCAGTGGTAGTATTAGTTTATCACTATGGTAACAGCACTGGGTCAGATTCTGAGACAGGCCTTGGTCATGCCATGCAGGAGAAAGTGACTATAAATCTGATACAGTATTCACAGGGTTACTGTAGATATCAGGAGATAACGTGATTCTGCTTGAACCACAAAATCAATTTCTAAGAGTAAATCAAAAGCAAAACAAGACTATCCCATGTGGTTTAACAAATCCGTTTAGACCAGTATAAGGGAGAAGAAAGCACTTTATAAAATGAATAAAAAAGCAGCAGCATTCAGTTAAGGAAAATGAGTACAATGAATTTCAAGTGCAGTTCAAAAGGCTGTTATCCAAGTGACAGATGTAAAGAACTTCCATTTCAAGATATTTCAGTGGAGACTCAAATAAATGATAAAATGTTCAAGAACTACAACAGCAAAATAGCCATAAAGGCTGAAGTAAAATGTACACGATAATGAGAAACCTCCAGTCAATGAAAAGGG